CTACCACGGCCCCTGAAGCCGCAACCTTCCCTGCCGGCCACGGCGAACCGCAGCCGACCAAGACGCCCCACTCCGGAGCATCCCCTGGAGGTCCCCCCAACACCCAGAAGGGGTGCTGGGCGCTCTGTCCCTCTGGCGGAGCCCCAGCGACTTGCGGCCTACCACGGCCCCTGAAGCCGCGGCCTTTCCTGCCTGCCGCTGTGAACCACTGAGAGGGGACGCAACCCCGCTCCAGAAGGGATGCCACCACCACCCCTGCCGGTACCCTCACCAGCTGCTCAGGAGGTCCTGCCATTACCCAGGAGGGGTACTGGACGTCCTGTCCCCTGCGGCCTACCACTGCCTTCTAAGCCTCGCTGCTGCCCAATGCCTGAACCAGGACGCTGCCGTCTGCGCCAGCGAGAGGAGAGCTACCACCACTGCCTCCCCTACCTACAGCCGCCGCAGAGAGAAGGGAAGTAGCAACCACCCCCACCGGCACAGAGAGGGTAGGCCACAACCGGCTCCGAGAGGGTAAGCCACTGCCACCACATCGGCTTCCCTGTTCCCCACCGTGTACCGCACAGCACCTCCAGACACCGAGCTGTCAGCATCCTCAGACGCCGTGCCCTACAACACCCCCAGACACCGCTCCCTACAGCTCGTCCAGTCGCCGAGCCACTGTACCCACCAACGCCGTGCCACAGCACCAACGGACAGTGGCCTACAGCACCCACAGACTGCACTCCACCGAAACCGCCCTATTTAAAATCACTAACGACCTGCTAACCGCCAAAGCTAATGGCCACTATTCAGTCCTCCTACTCCTCGACCTCTCTGCGGCCTTCGACACCGTCGACCACCCCCTGCTCCTTACTAAACTGCACTCCTTTGGCATCAGGGACTCTGCTCTCTCCTGGCTCCCCTCCTACCTATCCCAACTCTCCTTCAGCGTTACCTATAACGCTGCCACCTCCCCCTCTCTGTTGGAGTCCCCCAAGGCTCTGTCCTCGGGCCCCTTTTCTTCTCCATCTACACCTCCTCTCTTGGCCAACTGATACACTCCCACGGCTTCAACTATCACCTCTATGCCGATGACACGCAAATTTACACCTCTCACCCCTCACCTTACTCCCTCTCTCTCCGCATCGCCCACCTCCTGAACGACATATCAGACTGGATGTCGCTCCACTTCCTTAAGTTAAACCTTTCCAAAACTGAGCTCCTAGTTTTCCCCCAGCCCGTGCCCCCCTCATCCTCTCCATCACGACTAGCAACGCCACCATCAATCCCACAACCACACGCCAAAGTCCTGGGTGTCACCCTGGACTCAAACCTTTCCTTTCATCCTCATGTCCAATTACTATCAAAGTCATGCAGGCTCCTCCTCCGCAACATCTCCAAGATACGTACGTTCCTCACCCCAGACACTACTAAACAACTCGTACACTCCCTCATTATCTCACGCCTGGACTACTGCAATTCCCTTCTCACTGGCCTACCCAAACAAACGCTATCCCCACTCCAGTCTATCCTGAACTCAGCGGCGAGACTCATCCACCTCACCAACCGCTCCACATCTGCCACCCCCCTCTGCCAATCCCTTCACTGGCTCCCGATTGCCCAACGCATTAAATTCAAATTACTAACTCTGACCTACAAAGCCATTCACAACACCGCCCCAAACTACCTAACTGACCTGATACCCAAATACCACCCTACCCGTGCCCTTCGCTCCTCACAAGACCTCCTACTCTCCAGCTCCCTGGTCTCCTCCGCCCATGCCCAACTGCAGGACTTCTCCAGGACTTCCCCCATCCTCTGGAACTCCATACCCCAATCCATTAGACTGTCACCTACCCTCCTCACCTTCAGGCGCATCCTGAAAACCCATCTCTTCAAGGAAGCCTACCCCACCCTCACCTAACAACCGATCTCCTCCACTCCCCCCTACCACTCCATCCCCCACAGCCACATCCTCTTGTTCCACTATCCCCTCCCTCCTAGATTGTAAGCTCGAAAGAGCAGGGCCCTTGAAACCTCCATGTATTGTAACTGTATTGTCTCATGAACTGTCCCCCTTGCTAATGTACCGTGCTGAGCAAAACCATTTGGCGCTATATAAACACTGTATAATAATAATACTTGAGAAAAAGGGTTTCCTCTCAGGGCTTTCCCATTCCTGCTTAATGGTATCAACCAGGGAACTATGGACTGGAAAGACACTAGTCTTTGTAGCATGCAAACCTTGATACATGAGGTCATGCTTAGATAGGCAAACATCCTCCTCCTCGATCTCTAAGGTTTCGTAGATAACTTTAAGGAGGTCGTCCACATCTTCCAGGGGCAATTTGTTCCTGGAACCTCTGGAGGAGCAAACTCCACCATCCTCCTCTTATGAGCCTGAATCTACTCGTGAGGAAGCAAGAGACCTAGGATACTCCTCCGGGTCCTCCTCCCCTCTTAATGCATCTGCTACCTACAAACCCACCGATTTGGTCCGAGGACCCAGTGGCGACTGCATTTTCCCAATAGGGATCTAAAGGATACACTACCACCTCCCCCCACTCCCCCTCTCTGTTGGGGTCCCTCAAGGCTCTGTCCTCGGGCCCCATCTCTTCTCCATCTACACCTCCTCCCTTGGCCAACTGATACACTCCCATGGCTTCAACTACCACCTCTATGCAGACAACATGCAAATCTATCTTTCGACCCCTCGCATCACCCCTTTAGTCTCCGCCCGAATCACCAGCCTACTGAAAGACATATCAGATTGGATGTCGCTCCACTTCCTTAAAATGAACCTCTCCAAAACCGAGCTCCTAGTCTTCCCCCCCCAGCCCGCACACCATCCCCCACTGACTTCTCCATCACGTTCAACAATGCCACCATCAGGTCCACCCCGCAAGCCAGAGTACTTGGGGTCATACTAGACTCCAATCTATTCTTCCAGCCGCAAGTCCAATCACTAACAAACTCATGCAGACTCCACCTCCGCAACATCGCCAAAATCTGCACATTCCTAACTCCAGAAACCACTAAACAGCTCATCCACTCCCTCATCATATCACGACTCGACTACTGCAACTCCCTCCTCACTGGCCTGCCTCTTAACAGGCTATCCCCGCTTCAGTCCATCCTGAATATGGCGGCCAGACTCATCCACCTTACCAACCGCCCTGTTTCCGCCACCCCCCTCTGCCAATCCCTCCACTGGCATCCACTCAGTGTCCTCCACCCCCCTCTCCCAATTCCTCCACTAGCTTCCGATTGCCCAACGGATCAAATTCAAAATGCTAACACTGACGTACAAAGCTGTCCATAATTCTGACCCAAACTACATCACTGACCTAATATCCAAATACCACCCAAAACGCACACTCCGCTCCTCACAAGACGTCCTTCTCTCTAGTTCCCTGGTTTCCTCCTCCCATGCTCGCCTCCAGGACATCACCCATCCTCTGGGACTCCCTATCACAATCCATCAGATTATCACCCACTCTCCTCTTCTTTAGGCGCACCCTAAAAACCCACCTCTTCAGGGAAGCCTACCCCACCCTCTGCTAACTGCCGATCTCCTCCACTCTTCCTACCACTCCATCCCCCACAGCTTTTCCTCCTGTACCACTATCTCCTCCCTCCTAGATTGTAAGCTCCAAGGATCAGGGCCCTCGCACCCCTCATGTATCACATTGTATTGTTATTGTACTATCGCATGTATTGTCTTGCATTGTAATGTACAGCACTGAGCGAACTGTTGGCGCTTTATAAATACGGTATAATAATAATAGTGATTATAAAAGGATTGAAATGTAGACATGTCATCCTTAATGGAGGTGAGCACTTTATGGCAGGCTGTAAATGACTTATCCTTAATTAGGCTAGCCACACAATTGCAGCATAAGGGTTTTTCCCAGCTGAACCCAATTTAGCTGCACAAACTGCACACTTCTTCTTGGGGGTCTGACTCTGCACCTTGTCCTGGACTTTAACCTACAATGAGCAAGAAAAAACACAATACAGAAAATAATCAGCCCAGGGCCCCTCATACAAAACCACTATGCTGGGGGAGAAAGAAAAGGAAGTGTGCCCACCAGGGTCAGCAAGAGGGATCAGAGTCCCCAAGCTTACCTTAGAGGAGCCAGTGCCTGAAGGACCAGGGTCTGCCTGAGAAGTGCCAGCGCCTTCCATCCGTCCCTCTTGGTGTGGAGCCACAGGCTCTGCTGGGTCTGTACACCAGACTGGCTGCTTGACCAGATGCCAGTGCTAATATGGAGACTGGAAGCACGAGTCTCCGGTGCCCGTCGATGACGTCACCCCCCCTAGCGCGGCCGAACTTCTGGTTCCTGGACAGCACCCAGAAGTTGCGACTACTTGCACGCCCGCTTGGCAGTAACTGCCCCACTGTGCATCGGATGCTGGAACCCCCCCGCACGGGAAGGAGAACGACAGGCATCAAAAGTCCTGGACCCCCCAGGATACCCTCGATGATGGTTATCATCCACTGAGGCATGGAAGGACATCAGGAGCACAGCCCCACTCCTCCTAAAGGGATCACGTCAGGCAGAAGGAAGCAAGCCAGACCAGGAACACAAGCAACCTCTAGGGCCCAGGACTTCCAGACAATCGGTTCCTTGATGACTGCACCCATCCTTGCAGAGGAAACACTAAAAACTCAGGAGGGAGGCCTGGTGGTCCGCCTCCTATAGTACTGTGCTTACGTGTTTCCTGTCCCAGAGGGAGGAGCTCTGTCTCAGGAAGGCTGTCCTGGAGGACGTTTGGAGAAATGAACATTAGAATGTCTGAGAGACAAAAGCCAGAAATAGATCAGTGGCTGCATGCACGCCTCATTGTTAGGCTGCAGGTAGAGAGGCAGAGATGAGGCAGGATTTATCATGAAATACAAATTAAAGTGTATTATTATCAAAAACAGCCAAGAATATTTCACAAGGTCCTGAAAAGTATGTAAGTCATCGAGTTATTCCCCAATTTAAGAAGAAGAGCATAACTGCAGGTAGTAAATGTAAGAGAGGAGTTGCAGATGATACGATGGTGGGTAGTATGTACAGGAGAGGAGTGTGGAGGTATGACAATGATCGGTATGTACAGGAGAGGAGTACGGAGGTATGACAGTGATCGGTATGTACAGGAGAGGAGTGTGGAGGTATGACAGTGATCGGTATGTACAGGAGAGGAGTACGGAGATATGACAGTGATGGATATGTACAGGAGAGGAGTACAGAGGTATGACAGTGATGGGTATGTACAGGAGAGGAGTACAGAGGTATGACAGTGATGGGTATGTACAGGAGAGGAGTACGGAGGTATGACAGTGATCGGTATGTACAGGAGAGGAGTGTGGAGGTATGACAGTGATCGGTATGTACAGGAGAGGAGTACGGAGGTATGACAGTGATCTGTATGTACAGGAGAGGAGTACGGAGGTATGACAGTGATGGGTATGTACAGGAGAGGAGTACGGAGGTATGAGTGATCGGTATGTACAGGAGAGGAGTACGGAGGTATGACAGTGATGGGTATGTACAGGAGAGGAGTACGGAGGTATGACAGTGATGGGTATGTACAGGAGAGGAGTACGGAGGTATGACAGTGATGGGTGTGTACAGGAGAGGAGTACGGGGGTATGACAGTGATGGGTGTGTACAGGAGAGGAGTACGGAGGTATGACAGTGATGGGTATGTACAGGAGAGGAGTACGGAGGCATGACAGTGATGGGTATGTACAGGAGAGGAGTACGGAGGTATGACCGTTCCCAGGGAGGAGTATCTCAAGAAGGGTCTATACTCCACCATAACTCTGGTTCTCGGAGTGTCAGGTCCCAGCGGGTTCTCCTGGTGTCTCTCCTGTTATTCTGTCTCGGACACATCAGAGGAACATGGTGGGAGATCGGCCTGAATGTCCTTCCTAGGAGGGAATACCGGAGCCATTCTGAGGCCCATTTAATGGCCGGCAATGAGGAGGAAACCAACACTGAGAAGTAGATGCTGAGATATATACAGCACGGGGCAGCACAGTGGCTGAGTGGTTAGCACTTCCACCTGGCAGTACTCGGGTTGTTGGTTCAAATCCCAACCATGGCACCACCTGCCTGGAGTTTGCATGTTCTCCCAGTGCAGGTTTCCTCCAGGTACTCAGGTTTCCTCTCACACTACAAAGACATGCTGGGAGGTGAATTGTCTCCTATGTTGTCCCTAGTATGTGTATGTATGAATGTGAGTTAGGGCCCTTAGATTGTACGCTCCTCGGGGGCGGGGGACTGATGGGAATGTACAATATAGATGTAAACTGACGGCGCTATTATAAGTACCTGGAATAAATAATAATAATACACCCAGATCATCGATGACGAGGAGGAAGGTTCGGTCACAGATGATTGGTCCGTCTATAGCAGGGACAGGAGCCGGGACCAGGAATAGGAGATCCACCTGACTTACCCCGTGTGCTCTGACATGGAGAAGATCCCATGCTGGCCCTATGGTGGCCGTGTGTTCAGGATGGAGACCGACAATCACAGGACCTTCTGGAAGCCGATATAAAATGGCTGATGGGAGGAAAGTGTTCCCGGGACAGGAAGTGACACAACCAGGAAGTGACTCCAGACAGATTTATACAGAGGCTGCAGTATGGAGAGCAGACACTAGATGGTGCTGGTCCAAAAAAAGCTGAATAGCATAAAACAACAGAGAAAAAACCTGAAAAACAAAAGATGATGGCGGCTCGTAAACTTCTATTATCACAGTTATCACATTACAGTGGATTAGATCTCCCTTCATTTTGTTGTAGCCCGCCTGTCCCTCCTCCGGCGGCCATTTTCCCTTACTCTGATACAATGTTCTCCCAGTTATCACATTACAGTGGATTAGATCTCCCTCCTCCATTTTGTTGTAGCCCGCCTGTCCCTCCTCCGGCGGCCATTTTCCCTTAGTCTGATACGAATGCTGGCACATTTTGTCCCCTGATATTAGACATCAGCCGGGTGATTGTATACACACAGCGGGCAGATCTCAATCAATGTCACCCACTAGTCTATACTGTCACGGGGTTGGCCAGCCAATCATGTGGCTCCTATTCTGTCCTTCCAATGACCATTCCTAGTACATAGGACTCATCTTCCATACTACATTCATGATACAACAAGATGGAAACTCCCAATATACAGCGAAAATCTCCCATAAAATACATAGAAATCACATCTGCCCTAAAGGGCCATAAACATAAGAAGATTGCCCCCGACGCCCCCAGATTCATCTACAATACTAGCCAAGGTGTCATTGGTCCCCCTAATACACGGATAGTACCCCAATCCTGCATTCATACATGTGACAATACACCATGGATTCCTCCCGCTCTATATTATGTCTCCATACAAATCAGTCGCCATCCAATCCATCCATCTCACAAAAGCTCCAATACCCAGCAAATGTTTCCGTCTCCTCCTAGTAATAACCATGTGATCTCCATGAGAATAAAGCGCAGGATGTACACCCCTTCATGGCCACGCCTCTTTATGTAACTGACAATTGTGCGGTCGTGCAACGCTGCACCCAAACTAAATATCCGTCCTTTCTTCACACAAATAGAGCTTTCTGTCGGTGGGATGTCATCACCTGTGCGCTTTTTATTTTTCACGCCATAAACAAAGGAAGACCGAAAATGTTGAAGAAAAACAATATTTTGTACTTTCAGCTATAAAATATATAAAAAGTAAACCTCAAAGTTAGTTATAAATTTCACCAAAATGTCTCCCGCTCCATGTTTATGGAAAAAGGACCCCAATAAGTGGATATTGATTGCTGTGTGACCGTTATATCGTCTGCAGACTATTATTATTATTATTATTATTATACAGTATTTATAAAGCGCCAATATAGTTCGCTCAGCGCTGTACATTACAAAGGGGGACAGAACATGTGACAGAACAATACCAATACAATGCAAAACATGAGGGGATCGAGGGCCCTGCTCTTTCGAGCTTACAATCTAGAAGGGATGGGATAGTGGCACAGGAGGAGATAGCTGTGGGGGATGGAGTGGTAGGAAGAGTGGAGGAGGTCAGCAAGTTAGCAGGGGGTGAGGTAGGCTTCCTGAAGAGATGGGTTTTCAGGGTGCGCCTAAAGGAGAGGAGAGTAGGTGATAATCTGATGGGTTGGGGCAGGGGAGTTCCAGAGGATGGGTGACACCCTGGAGAAGTCCTGGAGGCGGGCATGGGAGGAGGAGACCAGGGAACTAGAGAAGGAGGTCTTGTGAGGAGCGGAGTGTGCGTGTTGGGCGGTACTTGGATTTAGGTCAGTGATGTAGTTCGGGGCAGTATGGTGGACAGCTTTGTACGTCAGTGTTAGGATTTTAAATTTGATCCGTTGCGCAATCGGAAGCCAGTGGAGGGATTGGCAGAGGGGGGTGGCGGAAATGGAGCGGTTGGAAAGGTGAATGAGTCTGGCAGCCGTATTCAGGATCGACTGAAGCGGGGATAGCCAGCGGCGAGGCAGGCCAGTGAGAGGGAGAGTTGCAGTAGTCGAGTCGTGATATGATGAGGGAGTGGATGAGCTGTTTAGTGGTTTCTGGGGTTAGGAACGTGCGGATTTTGGCGATGTTGCGGAGGTGGAGTCTGCACGAGTTTGTTAAAGATTGGACTTGGGGCTGGAAGGATAGGTTGGAGTCCAGAATGACACCAAGTACTCTGGCCTGCAGAGCGGGTTTGATATTGGCGTTGTTGGATGTGATGTAGAAGTCAATGGGGGGTGGGGTTCGGGCTGGGGGGGAAGACAAGGAGCTCGGTTTTGGAGAGATTCAGTTTAAGGAAGTGGAGCGACATCCAATCTGATATGTCGCTCAGTAGGTGTGTGTGATTTGGGCAGAGACCGAAGGGGTGAGGTGGGGGGTTGAGAGATAGATTTGTGTGTCGTCGGCATAGAGGTGGTAGTTGAAGCCGTGAGAGTGTATGAGTTGGCCAAGGGAGGAGGTGTAGATGGAGAAGAGAAGGGGCCCAAGGACAGAGCCTTGAGGGACCCCAACAGAGAGGGGGAGTGAGGGGGAGGTGGTAGCATTATAGGTAACGCTGAAAGAGCGTTGTGACAGGTAGGATGAGAGCCAGGAGAGAGCAGAATCTCTGAGGCCGAGGGAGTGTAGTATTTTGAGGAGGAGGGGGTGGTCAACTGTGTCGAAGGCCGCAGAGAGGTCAAGGAGTAGGAGCACTGAATAGTGGCCATTAGCTTTGGCGGTTAGAAGGTCGTTGGAGAGTTTTGAGTAAGGCGGTTTCGGTGGAGTGTAGGGGGCGGAAGCCAGACTGTAGGGGATCGAGGAGGTTGTTGTCGTTGAGGTGAGAGCATAGGCGGGTGTAGACGAGACGCTCGAGGAGTTTAGATGTAAGTGGGAGCAGGGAGATGGGTCTGAGGTTGTTCGGGTCATTGGGGTCCAGGGAGGGCTTTTTAAGTATGGGGGTGATGTGTGCATGCTTCAGTGGGGAGGGGAAAGTGCCGGAGGAGAGGGAGAGATTAAAGATGTGGGTGAGGGAGCGTAGGATGGAGGGGGAGGGAGGTCGTAGGAATTGTGAGGGGATAGGGTCGAGGGGGCAGGTGGTGAGGCGGGCATCAGAGAGGATCTTGGAGACTTCCTCAATGGTAGTAAGGTCAAAGGTGTGGAGTGTTGGGGGAGCTTCAGTATGAGGAATGTAGGGTGGGGTGGGAGTGGAGGTCAGAGCAGTGGTGGGGCCGTGGGAGAGGGGGTGATGAGGGGTAGCTGAGTGAGGGGGAACGAGGTCGGAGGGAGTTTGAGCAGTGACGAAGTCCCTGCGGTAATGTCGAGGGGGAGGGGGATGAGGGGTAGCTGTGTGAGAGGGGACGGGTTGAGAGGGCGTGTGAGTTGCGGCAATGTCCTTGCGAATTGTGTCAATCTTGTTTTTGAAGTGATTGGCAATCTCAAGGGCGGTGAGCGAGGTGCTGGGTGGAGGTGGGGGTGGAGAGAGTAGAGAGTTGAAGGTGGAGAAGAGTCGGCGAGGATTGGAGGAGAGGGCTTGATGAGGGTCAGGAAGTAGGCTTGTTTGGCTGCGTGGAGGGAGGAGGTGTAGGTGCGGAAGGCAGATTTGTAGCAGGTGAAAGCTTGTTGGGATTTTGTTTTGCGCCATAGTCGCTCCAGGGCACGACTGCGTCGTTTGAGGGTTTTGGTGTGATCAGTCTGCCAGGGCTGGAGCGTCGGAGTCTGATGTTGCGTGTGGTTAAAGGCGCTAGTGAGTCAAGGGCTGCTGACAGCGCGTTGTTGTAGGCAGTCATAGCCAAGTCGGGGCAGGACAGGGGGAGGATGCGGTCGTGGAGTTGATCAGCTGCAGAGTGGAGGGGGGCAGGGTTAAGGTTGCGGAGGTTACGGCTGGTAGTAGTGTGACATTTGGAGGGGTAGGCGTTGGAGGACGAGGAGATAGAGAAGGTGATCAGGTTGTGGTCAGAGAGAGGGAAGGGGGTGTTAGTGAGGTTGTGGGGGAGCACAGCGGTTGGAGAAGACAAGATCAAGGATATTACCGTTGGAGTGGGTGGTGGATTGTATGCACTGTGCAAGTGCAAAGGAGGAGGTTAAGTGGAGGAGACGGGCTGTGTCCGGGTTGTCAAGGTTGACAGGGATGTTAAAATCCCCAAGAATGATGGTGGGTAGCTCAGAGGAGAGGAAGAAGGGTAGCCAGGAGGAGAAGTCTTCCAGGAAGCGGGGTATGGATCCAGGAGGCCGGTATATCACAGCAGCAATCTTCAGGGGGGTTGGGGAG